GGCTAGTAAGGGAGGCTAGTGGAGAAAGCACTGCCCTGCTTCAAAGGTTACCAAAAGGTTAGGGGAAGGGAAGTGGCCTTGGACAGCAATTCTATGGTCTGGGATGATGCATCTGGCCATGCTCAAGGCCCATAAGTGGATTTCCAAGGTGCAAGGTGGCCCAGTGCTCCCCTTTTCCTCAGGACTGAGGGAGGTTAGGTACTACAGTTCTTGGGGTCAGCTGCAACAGGAGATCATGGGTCTATGAGAGCCTGCTGGGAAGGAGCAGGGCATAAAAAGAGCTCAGCTTGCTGGTCTAAAAGCAGTGCCATAGCGAGGGGGGCGAGCGGGGCAACCACCGTGGGTGTCAAAGCGAAGGGACGCCAGCAGGCGCTGCCCAGACAGGGCAGGGCGCAGGACAGAACCATGAGTGACTCATTTGTGGTGGCGCGGAGACAGGAGAAGGGTAGCTCTGACCCCTGCGTCCACTCCTGGGCAAGCATGTGGGGGTGTCACAACCCAATTAAATTGTGCCCATGTCACTAAGCAAGAGATACCATTCAAATCATCCTCATTTTGACGATTAAGGGTTAAAAGACATCCCTGCCAAAAATTCCTTGAAACAAAACGCGGCCGGAGTACTGTAGATAATTGGTCAGCTGAAATAAAATGCTAGGGGAAACTATATATAATTGGTCAAAAAATAAGCGTAAGCTCCTCACATGTAACACGCACGTAACAGGTAGAGAAACCTAACCCACTACCTTGTAACTTGAGGAGACAAAGAGCTGCTGCTTGCCAAAAAATTAAAAATTCCACATAACGGCCCATCATTGGGTGTCTATGTCAAACAACGCTGCCTATAAATAGTTTAACGGTTTCCGCCCAAGTCGGAGAACTCTGGGGATCTCACAGGAAACACCTGTGCTTGTCACCAGAGAGTTGGGAACTTGATCGATTCCCAATCAATCATCCCCGTCAGCGTAAAATATTGACGTAGAAAGTCTTGCAAGCCCGACCATTAGTTCTGGCGCCACGTCCGTCATTATCTCGTTGTAACATTGTAACCTGACTGCGTGCGTGTACTCAACTCTGTAACCGAAGCTATATGCGTGTATTCAACTCTGTAACCGAAGCTATAAAGGAACAAAGGCTCGCCTGCGTCGTCATCATATCTAGGCGACAGAAGTAAACAAACTCCTGTAACCTACGTGTGTCTGTGCCTGGTTAATTCCACTCCATCCATCAATTACCCGCCTGCCAAGCTCTAAATCTAAACACTCCGGTGTGAGTCAGACGGCTGCTGGCGGCTGCTCTGATTCACGACAGGGGGGAGGGCCGCCACCTCTGTGCGCAGGGTGAGGGCAGGCTGCCGCTGAGGGCTTTGCCCCAGGCACCAAACTTAGTTGCTATGGCACTGTCTAAAAAGGATGTGAATGCCTGAAGATGCTCCAAGGGAAGAGGCTGTGCCAACCACCTTTGTTCTAAGGACCGGGGTTGATAAAAATCAGTCATTCAAAACAATCCATTTTTAATTGTATTTTTATTTAATTAATTTATTTAGTAGCATCTGATGAAGGTTGCTGACTGCTGAACTATATAATTAAATAAATGTATTAGGGTTGTAAATATCATTTTAAAAATATTCGTTTAACCTCCTCTAATCATATGATTTAAACAATGAGGTCCCTTCCAACCTTAACTTTCTATGATTCTATGATTAACTGATAAGCGCACACTAGATGGGACAGTCACCAAGTGGGAGAGGAAAATCAGCAGTGCAAGACGGCCACTCAGCTGATGAAAAGAGTGAATCCAACGTGGCCGGTAGGTAACCACATAGGTGGGGAGACTCTAGCACCCGCAGAAAAATCTGCATGCGGAACTCCTGCTCCGTGACTCCATAACTGAAACCAGTTTAGACTACTCAGCTTAAAGATATCTGCCACAGACAGCAGAACCATTTGGAATGACCTGCAGGTAAATAATCCAAGTGGAAAGTACCTCTTTCCAAACAAGACAGACTTTTTAGAGTGGCCTTTCCCACTCGTTCCTGGCAGACCAATACAAACCATCATTGATGGTAATTCCTGCACTCACCTGAGGTCCTGGGAAGCCCTCCAATCCAGGCTGACCATTTGTCCCTGGAGTACCAGGATCTCCCTGTAATAAATAAAGAGAGAGAGGGAGGACAATCATATCATACTGCAATTTAACCTTTGGCCTGAAAGACCTTGCTCCACGTCAGTTTATACGGAGTAGTCCAACAAGGCATCAATCCAAGAGTTCCAAAGTTTCAATGATATGGGGCCTCACCCACCTCCCAACAGTGCCATCAGACAGCCACTCATGGAAATGGGTAGAAGCAGGAGTGGGCCCATAGCCCCTCCAAAGCTAACACTCAGAAGAGCAGTGGCAGGGGGCTTAAGATTTTATAAAGCTGTATGAAGGGATCCTACCTTTTGTCCTTCTTAAGATTTTCTGAAGCTGTATGAAGGGATCCTACCTTTTGTCCTGGCACACCAGGCTGACCCGAACTGCCAATGTCTCCCTAAAAGGTAAAGAAAAGTAAGCAAATGAGAGAAGCAGCCATTCTGTCTGTGGCCACAGTTTGCATGCACCAACAAATGACATGTCTCTTACAGGTTGTGTGAGGGGATCAAAGGGTTGAAAACTATTATCAGCACCTGTCCAAGCCACAACATTGCCAGCACAACACTTGCTACTAAGGCAAAGATTTCCAAGGCTCAGAAGGCAGTTTGATACCCTTTGCCTGACTCCCAAAGACTTCCAGCAGGAGTCGGAGCCCTAGTCATCCTTTGTGCCTTGAGAAACAACCCCTAGGTCTTGGGGTTTAAGTGGTATGCTCAAACAAACTTCCACCACTCCTAAGCAAGAAGGCAATGTGCCAGGCACGCTCTCACGAGAATGAATTCCCAAAAGAGGCAGAGCACTAATGAGTATTACAGAAAAGTCCAGGACCGAAATCTTTACTCTGCTGATCAATATTAAAATTCCTATCTCTTCAGTGGTTCAGGATTTTTCCCCAAGTGTCTTCCTTTGCACACTGTCCATCAATGGACACCAGCTGGAAATGCATGAATAAAAGCTGTGTAGGAATGGGCCATACACAGACTTGCTGGAATAACTTTGTATTAAGACAGCAGCTTAATATTCTAACCAGATCTTGCTACTCTGTCCATAGACATAAATTATTCTTGGCACGCTCTAATATCTGTTGCTTAACACATATTATAGAAGAGATTATCCTCTTCCATAACATACACCAGGATGGATGTAAAAAGGCTACAAAGGAAAGATTCCTAGTGACCATGCCAAGGAACAGGGGTCGGGGTCAGCTACTGGGGCAGCAGCTCTTAGCAGAGAAAACATCTCACTGTAATGGTCTGCTGTGGATGAAAACACATAAGTCCTATCACTGCAGAGGAACAGATTCAAAACGTATCCTGACCTTTAGTCCAGGGAGTCCTGGTGGCCCCTACATAAAAAGGGAAACAAATAAAATATGACAACAGGTGAATTCTTCCAAACATCAGGAGCCAAAGGAAAGTGTATTCCCCAACTCCCCAGAAAGTCTCTTTCACCAAGCAGCACATTAAGTTTTGTTGTTAATTTGACTACACAGCAACAGTAACAGAGATCTAAAGACATGTTCTGCTCCAAATGAAAGAATGTTCCTTTCAGGATTTGTCCTTCCCTGCTCTGAAAATGCCCCTAACCTACCATGTGGCAGGGCAGGACAGGCCACCCTAGCACTGTCCTTTCGGGGATAACTATGAAGTCTAAGGAGTCCTGTTGGGGCACTTTCTTTTTTTTCTTTTCAACAGCAATGCATAGCTGTAACAGCGAAGACTGTGAATGGGAACTGCTCCAATTGTATGACAGTACTGCTGTTTGGGACCCCATTCAGGTATGGGTTTTCTGGTACACATGGGGTAGTGAAGGCTGAGGCAAGGCTTTTGCACAGCTGAGTCTTGTCACATGCTTTGTAACTTCAGGCAGAAAAGCATGAAGCGTGGGGCTTGGGGAGTTAAATCCCTTGCTTAGGACTCTGTAGGGTGTCTACTTTAGTGAGCAGGGTAGGCCAATCCTCAGGAAGGGGTAAGAGGGCTTATTAAAAGACTGAGATGAGTTTTACCTGTGGCCCTTCAGGTCCACGTGGCCCAGGAACACTGGAAACAATTGGTATGCCTGAGCCTTCCATATCACCCTAGGGCAAGAAAATCTGGCTGAAATTCAAACATAGGACCAAAGCTCCTGACGCAGAAGTCATACCAGGCACATACCAAGCAGGTGTGTAGTATAAATGGGGAGCTACAGCACAGAGGGGAGAGTGTGGTGCCTAGCAGTTACCTGCACCCTCTTTTTTTTAACAAAACACCTGTGACACTGCTCCAGCTCTTCAGGATTCCAAGAACCTGGCAGTCAGTGTAGACTACCCATCCAAATTAGCTTCCTCAACGGCCAAAGAGAAGACCCTTTTCCACCCAACTCATCTCTGGGACCTGCAATTTAGGAAATACCTGGAAAGGCCCAATGAATATGGGCAGGGGAACCCCACAATGAAATGCTCCACCTGAGCCTCACAGCTGCAGAGACCTGTCAGTACAAATGCACCCTGTTGTAGGATCACAGTTTGGGAGAGGTGGCCTTTACAGCACCCAAGACTTATCCCAAAGAAGGTTTTTCCATGTAGGGTCAGACCGATCACCATATCTGGGGTCAGGAAGGAATTTTACTCCATGGTCCACTTGGTATGGAGCACAGATGTTTTTACCTTCCTCTATAACAAGGGACGCTCTACCTGGGACCTCTTGAGTGTATATTAACAACCTTTTACAGAAGCAGGACATTGCCTGGCTTAGTCCTCCTGCTTTACCTGTGGCAGGTTACACTGTTATGTCTTCTGTTGTTTAGGGTTGACTGTAGTTTAACTAAGAGGTTAGGATTATGGATTTGTACAGGACTGTTTGGGTAGCGATGATCCTGTCTCAGGCAGGGGGTTGGACTAGATGACCTCTGGAGGTCTCTTCCAGCCCTGCTTCTCTATGATTCTATGATTTTCCAGGCAAGCCAGACACCTTGATTTCCACCTAGAATATAGTAGAAGGGCAGAGCGTGCTCTCTGCAGGATGGCCTCTTTAAGCCCTCGCAGGCACAGGCCACACCAGCAGGCACGCAATGATTACCATCACTGGTACTTACAAATCCAGCTTCATAGCCTGGCCCTGGAGGTCCAGGAGGACCTGGCTGTCCTCGGGGTCCAATAGGTCCAGGAAGGCCAGCCAACCCTGTTTCCCCTGGGGATCCTTGTGGCCCAGTTTCTCCTTTACTGCCCTGCATGGGAGAAAAGAAAGTAGAGATGTGATACAGCCAGGAAATCATGGGAGCCCTGACTTTGCAGAGCCCTCAGAAGGAGGAAAGCTCCTACATCTGTCTGACCAAGGCAATGGGTTATAATAAACTTTTGAGCCAAGGGGAGAGGCCTTTCTCTCCTCCAGCAGAAACCAAAAGCATAAGTCAAGGCTGAGCAAGCTAGGTAAGTAAAATGAGAGTTCACAGTTGCACAGACCCACAAAACTTTGTCAGTTAGCCACGTCTCAGAGCAGATCACAGGGCTGTCTCCTCCATTAGACTGTTATAATACAAAGAAACGCATGCACCTTCAGTGCTTTTTAGTGAGGTGAGGAACTCATAGCTGAAGTTAGATCCAAGCAGAGAGAGGGCAAGGCCTTGTGCCCCGACAGTTCTGGCTGTGCACCCAGGCCCTGTCCTGCAGTTCCACGTCCTTTTCTCAGCAGAGCCTGACAATGGTGTTTCTCATCATCAGCCAGCGCTTTTGCAGTATGGAAAATGTCCACTAGAGGCCAGTCTGAGACCACCAAGCCCAGTTTTCTTTCAGCAATGCTGTTCAAAGGTCTGCAGAGCTGGGAAGCCAACATGCCTCTCTCGAACTATATACAGGGTACAAGGAAAGCCCAGCATAAAATTTTGCAAGTTAAATATGAAAAAAAAAATTTTGAATCTAGAATTTTTCCACTGTGTACTAGTAGAACTCTAGACATCCAACAAGAGCTCAGTCTGAAACACTGAGAGCTGCCAGCTTCATGTTCGTGCTACAGGGGATTCAACCTTGTATCCCCTTGTCCACTGCATACTTTTAAAGATGATCTGGGAGGGACCATCAAAATGGAGACTGTAATCAGTTTTACTTTGTAACAGACTGATTGATATCTGTCTCTCAGAAAGTTAAGCATTACACAGGAGCAGAACAATACAGAATTAAACTACATGCAGAAGGAGCAATATTCAGCAGTAATTGTTAACTACATTATATGTACATGTACACACGTTATGAGCCACTCTGGCAGTAGTAATTAAAAGGCCAGCAGTATAAATGCTTTTCTGTTTGCACTGCATGTTTTTATGAGTACTGTAAACCATAGTAAAAAGAACTATGATGTTCACCCAGACAAGGGGATGGCCTTTTATATTTCTTGCTTTGCCTTTTGTTTTAGAATAGTTTCAGTTCCTGTGTTGCCAGCAGGAGCTTGGACTAGATGACCTCCTGAGGTCCCTTTTAACCCCTCATTTTCTATGATTCTATGACATGCAGAAACACACCTTTTCTCAGCACTGGATTATCTTATTTTGAAAAAGTGAATGACAAATGCATACATCTATTCAAGCCATGCCATCTGCATGCATGCATGGTGCCTTTACCTCGAACCTTGCCTCTCCCATGGGTGGGGATGTGGAGTAGTAAGAAAGAAGCGCTAACAGGTAGGAAGGGATAGGAGGCAGTTTGCTCTGGTTAGATGGGAGAAAAGTGAGTGGAGACAGAGAGAAGAGTGATGAGCAGATAATGAAACAATGAGCATGGGTGACAGACTAAATGTGACAGCCCTAAGCTGTTCCAAAGCCGGCATTAGATGGGAAATGGGCTTGTTGGGATTTTAGCATTAGTATCTTCTGTTATATCAATACCAGATTCGGCACTAGAACTAATATCTAGAGGCCAGATTCTTTCACAGCTGGTGTAAACTGGCATAGCTCCACTGACTGGCAAATCCTGATCTAGTTTACACAAGGTGAAGATCTGGCCTTTGGATCTCAGTGTAGCTTAATAGATACACATCTTGCCTGGTTGGAAAAGGCCTCTCAACAGAAGGGGACCCAGGAATGTGACACTCCGTGGTGAGGATGCCCTTGGTCAAACACAAGTTATACTGTGTAATTCCTGAAGTTCCAATGACGTTCTGTCACTGAGATGAACTGCCTTGCTCCAGTCAGGCAGATAACTCAATGCCCTGGTAAAAATCTACAACCTGTTTTGTTGCTCTTTTAAAATTTTGAGAGATCTGTGCAACCTGCACAGGGTGTAGTGTTCACCTTTCAGTTATAATGCTGTATCTAAACAAGAACCACCTCCACAATACAATATTGATATTGCTTCCTTGATTCCATTCCCCATTCCCCACACAATTCCCCCTCCTCACCACTGAAATTCCCCCAAGACCCAACAAAATTCACCCTCCTCACCACTGAAATTCCCCCAAGACCCTTAGAACAGAGTCTGACTGTGACAGGAGCAACACGCTGGTTTCACGGTTGTCATGCACAATGCCACATCTCCTGCGGTAAACAGGACATCTTAGAATGTAGCCCCCAGTTCAGCCAAGTATAGTAGGTGCCAACTCCAGCAAAGCATGAATATGTATAGCCTGCTACTGAACTGGAATGGATTTGAGCAGACACCTCAGTCCTTTGCTAAATTGCTGGAGTTTGGACTTTGTGCCAATGCACAAGAGATTTGGTTTGGTTGGTCTCTCTCATTCTCTCCAGGCCTTCTACTGCGAGAGATAGTGGGAGTAATAGTATAACAGAAGATTACATCTGCTCTAAGTGAAATGTGGAGAGCATGACAGGAAGAATGGGAGTCACGCAATGAAATATTACAACAACAATATGCAGGGAATGGGAACCAGAGTGGGTAATCTGGAGGCTGAAGGAGCACTCTCCCTGGGTAAGGGGCTGTCTAATGTGCGTGCCACAATTCAGTGCTCTTCATTTGGAACTCACATACTGTTGGGGATCGCAAGTCAGCTGGAGCATTGTTGCAAAAACAACAGTTGTAAATCAGTTGATCAACATATCTCTTTCCAGGTAGATCAACCCCTGGATTTGCATTCTGGGTTTCCATTTTTAGTGCGGGGTCTTGTCTACTATTTAAACATATTTCTGCCAGTTTTATAGCCTCAAAACTTTGACTTTACTTAATTTTAATTGTTTTGAATCCTATTCATTCTGTGCAGTGCTTCCAGCAAAAAAACACCCAAGTATAATCTCTCTTGAGCATGAAAAATAAGGCTTTGTTTTCTTGGAGTGCTTTGAATATGGCAGGTTTCTAGCAATCTAAAATAATTATAATAAGAAAAGTGATATAGCAAATTAAATAGAGATCCCATAGCATGACAAGGAAACCAGGAAGCAAACTTGTATGCACAATAAGGAGGTTTGTACTGTGCAACTGGTTTTAAGGTTGCATGTCATTTTAAAGCAGAGAAATCAGAAGAGTGACTTTAAAGAGGATATTGTGGTATTACAGATTTAGTCCAAGACATTGTGAAAGTTTAGGCATAGTTGTGGTTTCCTTCTCATAAGGAGTGGGCAAAGTTACACTCAAATGAGCTGGCAGGATCATGGCCTTTTCCCACTTCAGTGACTCTGCATCATATGTGCCAAAGGCATCCATTAAATTGAGCTACCATATTTACTCATACCCAAGACAAGGTGTTTTTTCCCATTAAACATGGAGAAAAAGAAACCTCAACTTGGATGCTAGTACGGTCTGAGGCAAGAGGCTCTGGGTGTGGCTCCAGCTCCAACCCAGGGGAGACCGAGCTGCAATGGGAAAGGCAAGTGTGGGGGAACTCACACAGTGCAGGGGGTGAGTTCAGGAGAGATCACATGCTGCAGGGGGGCCTGAGGGAGACCACAGAGAGACCATATGGTATGGGGTGGTGGAGCTACTCTGACTCTGGCTTTGGCCCTGACCCAGGTCAGGGTTGGAGCTACCGCTGCTTCCTGGCCATGGCCAAAGCCAGCATGTGCTCTGTACCTAGGGCTGGAGTTGTAGCCAGAGCCACTGCACGGGGTAAGTAGAAGCAGAAGGGAGCAAGTGGCTGGGCCAGTAGGCACTGGGGGGGAAGGGAGTGGGAAGTGGTGGAGGGGGCAGACACCTGGGGGGCCCAGCTGCAGGGAGGGCAAGTGGTACTGGGGGCTAGCGGGGTTGAGAGAGGGAGGGACAGGGGGCAGGGTAACTGCCTCCCCACTACTGTTTTCCCCCCAGCTGCTGCTTTCTTTGCCACAGCTGTGGGGCAGATGAATTTATGATGATACAAAGTTATACTTTTCCATGTATAGAATCTAACTATGAGACAGTTGTCATAAATTCAAAGTCATCTTGGATTTAGGTAAATATGGTATTTCCACTGGTCACACTGCAAGCTCAGACAGCCAAACTGTGCTTTTCCCTAACTACAAATACATGTGGGACAGGTTTATGCAAAGACCCTCTCACCTTCAGTACTGCCCACACAAACACATGGGCAGGGGTGGGATTATTCCAATAATATGGTGGTGCAGAAGGCAGCTTATTCTGCCCTGGCTTTTTCACACTGCTAAATGTTATTGAACACTAGCTTTTACAGCGAGCCTGAGCACCAGCCGTAGCCATCGATTTGAAGGCTCTTGACCAATAGTTAAATAAATATTCAGCATCTCCACTTTACAGGTGGGAAAGTGCAGACACAATGTTCCTTAAGCAAGGTCACAAAATCAGTTCAGTAGAAGAGCAGGGGTCAGAACTTAGAAAACTGCTCTATTGCCACTGCCCAGCCCACCCCTAGAAACACACACAAGTCACACACTGCAAAAAATACCACTTTGCTCCAGTGGCTTCCATGCTCTTGGGTACACTTCAGAGCTCTTCAAGATGACTCCAATGGGCTTTCCTTTTAAGCCACAGTGATCAAATGTTTGGATGAGAAGCTGCAGTCTTACACAGATACAATGGAATTCAAATGAAGGCAAACATAATTCAACTGAAATGTGGGTGCTAATCCCAAAACAGTTTCCTTGTTTCCCAGAAAAAAGCCAGTGCTACAAGGGGAAACTACTGCACAGTCACAGAACTAGAAAACCCCATGAACATGGTACCGTACCTTGGGTCCAGGAGCTCCAGGAAGGCCTAGATCACCAGAATCACCCTAGGAAAAAGAAGGGAAAGAAAAGTGAATCTTCACACAGATAGGGTGGAAACAATTGTCCAGTGTCTTATTTGTGAGGGGGGCCTTGATCTGCTCCCCGCCACTTCCACCACAACAGACTTACCACAGCTGCACGCAGCTCTCCACACCACCAGTTGTGCTCCTCACTGCCTACATGCTGCACTGTGGCTGCACACATGCACGGGCCATTTATCGGCCAAATTATCGGCCACATCAGGCCGATTTCTAATATAGACAATTTTCTTTATATTAGTACCGATCCGATATTGGACCAATGTATCGGTGCACCTCTAGTTACAATACATTGCTTTTTGCCACCAGCTTGCTCTAAATATGGAACCTACATTGTATACAGCACAGCTGCTCTTGGCCTGTAAGCACCCATAGGGCCTTGTTACACCTTACACTGAGTCGCACAGATGTTGATTGGTGCTAGTGTTAACTTAGAGTTTGGAACAGTCACACCCTTAGTCTAAAAATCTTCTGACTGTCTCCCACTGGGACAGCTGTGACTTGCCACTAGAGGTCTGGTGAGCAGGGATAGGACTAAGAGCTGTAACTGTAAGTTGCCACTAGAGGACTGGGAAGCCAGGACAGACTTCTCTCTCTGCTGTAGGGGCAGGTGTGTGAGATATCCTGGGATACTGGAGGACTTCAACTTGGGCAGCACATCTGTGGGGAGTGGTCACACATTAATGGAACAGGAGCTGGGTAGTGCGGATCAGAGATAATCCTGCCCTGGAGTGGCATAACATTGAGTTGCATAACGAGCACTTAAAACCACTTTAAAGTGTTAATGTGCAGACAATTTAGGGGTTAAGAGCTCTAGAAGCCATCCAAAATTACGGTGTAACAAGGCCCACAGAGACTGTTCCATCATGCTTTCCACTGCACTGGCCAGTTGAGCCTATATTCATTTATTATGTACAACAGACTTCTACTATTGTACTAAAAAGGCCTCTCTGACTTCAGGTCAGGACAAACAGTGCTAGCTGGTCTGTGGAGCTCTGCTTCTCCCTCAGTAACACGTTACTGTAAGGATGCCCCAATTCTACCAAGCACCATGCAGAGAGGGGACACATACCTTCTCTCCTCTGAATCCTGGCTGGCCAGGTAAACCTTCTCTTCCTGGAGGACCTGGAGGACCCTGGAAAGGTTAAAAAGAGAGAACCACAGTTTGAAGAGAGGTTTAAGAACTGGCTATTGTCAGCTCTTTAAATTGCAATAACCCCAAACCCTTTACCTGTGAGAAACTGTCCCATATGCCCACCCTCAGCACCATCAAGACCATTACATTGTGCATTAAAGACTACGGTATTCACATAGACTACAGGCCCCATAGAGACTCATTTTAGCTTTCAGTGACAGTCATTATTGTACATTACACTCCCTGCCAGACACATATAAGCAAAGGGACTGATCAGCAAACCCTAAAGAAGATGCATTTCCTCAGAAACCTCCACCAGCAAGTTCCCTAGCCCTAATCCTGTGACCACCTCAGCTATGCAAGCCGTCAAATGCAGCACAAACAGTGCCACAGGTGACTGCTATCAGAGCCAGAAAAGGGGTCAGTTCATACAGAATCGCAAAGAGAAACAATGACCCCATTCTCTTGTCCCTCTAGGAAGTCACCATCATGAGGTATCAAGCAACCCAAATGCTGCCATCATTGTAGAGTCCTGTCCTGGCCATATCACAATGGAAATGGCTGGGAAACTGCACAACATCAGGTTTCAAAATACACTTAATATGGAAAAGTGACAGGAATAACTCTGGATCAACTGGTCAGATCACAATCTTCCCCATTCTTTCATTGACCCACCATGCCTTGTTCTCCACACACTTACAGGTGGCCCTTGCAGTCCAGGGCTTCCATCTTTGCCAGGCAGGCCAGGGGGACCTGGAATCGCTGTATGGTTCATCCCAAATCTTCCTGGTTCTCCTGGCAGGCCAGGCACACCAGGAGGTCCTGGGGGACCTGGTGGGCCTCGGGGTCCCTGAAAGAGAGGACAAAAATAATGTGTAAGGGGCACAATCAGATCTTGCACACTTCCTAGGTTCTCTCTGGCAGCTGGGTGGGCCAGTCACACAGGACTGCTCTGAGCAAGTCTTATTAAACACTACCCATCTTGAGGATTTAACAAAACAAAGCCTTGGAAATGCAACTGGATCATCCCACTTCCCTGGGTTTGCACACTCACCCGCAAACTTTCCAGATCACCTGCAAACCCAGACCCTTCCATGTCAATGAATGTCTGGAATAGAAGCACACAGAGAGGACAAGATTACAGTCAGATGGGGATGCACAGCATTCATGCCACAGACTAAGGTTTGACTCAGATCAGCAGCATCTCCTGGCCCTGATCTCCTACAGTACTTAAGAAGGGTTTATAACTGTGAACACCATAACCTCTGGCTGGCTCTTCCAGACTACTATAACTCCCATGTGATGGGGCTGTCTATCAGGATGAGGATGTTGGCTCTCCTATGTAGGAGGCTTTTGACCAACCATGACAGTGCTGTTTAGACCAGTCACTCTGGGATTTATCTGCTGTGTCATATGGTCCTGAGGGAGCCCAGATTATATTCCAGTGATGTTTGATCCATTTATTAACTTTGTTATAATTCCCTCGTTTTTGTGATCAAATGAGGCTTGGATGCAGATATCTGCTGCATAGAACATCCAGGTCCTCTTCTCCAAGACAATCCAGCTGTGAAGACACTGAAGGACTTAGCATAGACTACTCCACCAGACTGCTCAACTAGCAAAGAGAACCTCTGGGAAAGGGAAGTGATTTAGATCCCTTCCCTGTTCACAAGAGCAGCAAAAAGTGGCAAGGTCTAAACAATGACAGCAGAGGATAAGTCACCTTGGGGCAGAGGTCTACCACCAGGCCCAGGCACTGTCTTGTGTTTGCCCTGCAAGCAACATCTAAATAGGACCTGAAAAAAGTGCATGGATGTTGAGCAGATCTGTACCCTGAAACCATTTCACCCACAGCTAAGGTATTAATGGTGACATCATTGAGAGTACTGTAACTAGAGCTGTCTGGTCCTACAGGGCACCTATATGCGTACCAGATGTTTGCTCCGCTAATTAGCACACGTCGGAGTAGATTCAATTAGCATGCTCCAACAGCCTCTGCATCACATCTCTTCAGCATCCCTGCACTTCAAAATGGCAATGGGGGCACCTGAACTAAAGTTCGTTGAATGAGCTTTAGTTCAAGCGCCCCCGCTGACATTTTGAAGTGCGGGATGCTAAATACAGAATATGATGCTGTGGGTGCTTAGTTAGAGTGGCTCTAATTAAAGTGTCCCCCCCGAGCATATCTATAGACACCCATAAATTCCTAGTCTGTAGGAGGTTCAATTTCAATTTCAATTTTCTTCATTCCAAATCAAGATCTAAGAATTTCCCACAAAACAGAATTTTAAAATTTCTTTTTGGAAAAAATTCAAATGACACTTTAGTTAACCCATGTTGAAAACTTGTTTTGACTTTCCCAACTTAATAGTGTCATTATATTTTATACTTTCATTTATAATGTAATGTTAAAGTCAAATCCCTGCCCACACACCGAAGGGCAGGGAACAACTAAGCAGACCTGGACAGGTTGGACATATGGGCAGAAAACAACAGAATGCAATTCAACAAGGAGAAATGCAAAGTGCTGCACCTAGGGAGGAAAAATGTCCAACACACCTACTGCCTAGGAAATGACCTGCTTGGTGGCACAGAAGCGGAAAGGGATCTTGGAGTCCTAGAGGACTCCAAGATGAACATGAGTCGGCAGTGTGACGAAGTCATCAGAAAAGCTAATGGCACTTTATCGTGCATCAGCAGATGCATGACGAACAGATCCAAGGAGGTGATGCTTCCCCTCTATCAGGCGCTGGTCAGACCGCAGTTGGAATACTGCATGCAGTTTTGGGCGCCGCACTTCAAGAGGGATGTGGATAACCTGGAGAGGGTCCAGAGAAGGGCCACTCGTATGGTTAAGGGCTTGCAGGCCAAGCCCTGTAAGGAGAGACTAGGACACCTGGACCTCTTCAGCCTCCGCAAGAGAAGGTGGAGAGGCGACCTTGTGGCTGCCTATAAGTTCATCATGGGGACACAGAAGGGAATTGGTGAGGCTTTACTCACCAAGGCGCCCCTGGGGGTTACAAGAAAAAATGGCCATAAGCTAGCAGAGAGCAGATTTAGACTAGACATTAGGAAGAACTTCTT